AGGTAGGGTCGACATGCCTTAAGAACTCTTTTCATTATGTTTTTGTAATTATTTTTAAACCTACTGTATATCCGTAATTATTTTTTCAAAATACAAAGTTTATGTAAAAAAAACTCACCTAATAAGTAGTCCGCCATTGACTTTTTCTAGTACCAACCAAAGAGCAATAATATACAAAGTAAGGAATTAAGCATAGGACTGACTTGATCACCTTTGGGTCGAGAAAATCCCCTTTGGCATGGGTAGACAAAGTCAACATGGGGCTGAAAAATTAGAGCTCACATCGTAGAATTGTCACTCATGTTTCTTATATGTTTGTGGGTAACCATTGGTACTTGTAAACATTTAATACCAATTTTGTGGCTCCATGAAAAACTAACAAACCCTACATAAATCTCAAAAAATGGATTTCTCAATTGCTGCTAAACAATGAAATACCAACTATTGATTAATATACTACAAAATCTATGTTGCTTAGAAACACTAGAATCGAATTATAAGAAAAGTTACTACATTGTCCATTCGATATCTGGTTTTCATTATCAATATAACTTGTTTCCACAAATTCCAACATGGTTGAAACAATGACTATGCAACAACAAAATCCGATAAGAAAAATGGCAAAAAATATGAAACCCTAAATTCTGCTGAGCTCACGTCGTGAACTCCTAGTTCATGTCGTGAGCTGTGACTAAGGTTTTAACACATTACAAAATTTTAAATTATTATTCCATCATTCAATTTCAAACAAGTTTTTATAGAAAACATGGAGCTAGGGTGAAAGTAACCATGAACCAATGGCTTTGATATCACTGTTGGGTTTTCTACGCATCGGATATACTTTAAAACTAGGCAGTGGAAAAATCGAAACAACGATATAACTAAGTGTACATGCATCCTATGGATCTATGGCTTCATGCTAATTACATCAACCCTAGAAAACTAAAACATAAGTAAGAAAACATACCTCTTATGTAGCCCTTGATCTCCATGCTTGAGATCTTGAACCTCCATGAAGTTGCTTGGATGAAAGGAGCCAAACCAGAATCCCTCTAATGGTATCACACCCAATGACACCAAAGAGTGGAATATAAATAACTAGGAGAAGGGTCAATTTCACAAACCTAAAGGGGTTAGAAATCGTCCCTAAGAGGGGGAGGAAGAATAGTTGGCGAATACTTCAAGCCAAGGTGCAAGGAAGAATGAAATCCCTAAGGCCCTATTTATAACCTTTGATGCCTCCTAGGGTTTAGTACTCCTTCCCATGTGGACTGGAGGCATAACCACGAAATTTCACTCCTTTCCCATGTGGGATGAAGTGATTTTCATCCAACCCTAATTCCATAAGGTTCTGGAACATTCTTGACTAACCAACTATCGATTAATGAACATTCAACCCTTTAATTAATTAAATTGTTAATTAATTCCCAAAATATAATCCCAATTAGTTTCTAATTAATTAATAACCATAATAATTAATAAACTAATTTCTCCTTTATTTATTTTACTCAATTTTTGTCTTGAGGGCAACTCAAAAGGACCCTGTTATTATTAGAAATATTACCAATAGTTAATGACCTTGGACACTATTCCAATGGAGCCACCTAGTATGCTGGGGGTACTAGGCACCGAAATGAGGGGTGTGTCCCTATTTAAAGAACATGATGGCCTTATTTCTAGCCATAATTTCCAACCTTCAACCCTCTAAAAATCCTAATATATGTTCCTCTAGCTTGAGAGTCCATTTGTGAGCTTCTAAGTGTTCTTGTGGTATCCTTGAAGTGAAGTAGGACAATTGAGGAAAATGGTGTTGGAGTCCAGGCCTTGGATCTGAGTGTTCCCTATGGTTGGGGCATCATTTGAAGGTATAATGCTCAGGGCTTTCTCATCCTTTTTTATTAGTGCATATTATGGTCCATTTTAGGGTTTTTGGTCCCAAATCTTGAAGCTTTAGGAGTTGTTGAACTCCATAGCCTAATATTTTTCCTTTTAAGTGTTTCTAGTGGAGAGGATTCATAAAAATTAGGTCTTGGATGTTAAAACCACCCCATGCATGAGATATGAGAATTTTTGGGAGTAAAGAGTGAGTGTATTTAGGTATGGAGATTTATCGGGCATGCAAAGGCTTAAAGTCATGAACTTTATGGAGTGTGAGCCTTTAAGGAGTCCAGATATGAGAGTATAGCTATAGTCTTAACGAGTTAAGATCAAGAGAGTGGGAAAAAGCAAGTATGTACGTATGACGAGCATAAATCCAGCCGCGTACTGGTCAAGAGTCCCCCATCAAGATTCGAGTATACGTTGAGCGTACCCAATGAGGTATACCCCGCGTAACCTTGTTGTGGGATTTTTGGGCTAAAAGTCACTTTCAGCCTTAAGAGTTAGGCCTGGGATTTTGGGCCTATTGTGCTGGAGATTTTGATTAGAGAACTATTATGTATGTCTTGGGCCTTTGTGTTGGACCTGCCATTTGGACTTAAGTTTAAGAGTCGGGCCTTAGGAGAGCCCATTTCGTATTGGGCCTTGGTGGGCCCAATGAGATTGAGTTAATTATGGGTCGGGTAGTGAACTATCTTTAGACCTAATGAGTGAGGTTTGGTCTTAGATCTTAATTGGGTAATTGTGGGATTTGGTTCAATGTTAGAGGCTGGTGTGAATCAGCAGCATCTATAGGAGTTGTTCATCATCCGAGATAAGTCTTCTCACTATACATACCTGGAGTGGTAATCTTTGTGTGACTAGAGGATCTTATGTGTTTATATTGAGTATTGTGATATCCTGAATATTGTCTTTGTGATTTATGATGTGTATTGTTCTGAGCTTACTGAGTTAGGACTGGAGGGTCCACCCAAGTTGTAGGATCGGAGGGTTCCACTTAGACACATTGACCGGAGGGTCTTATTTGAGTATAGCCATGAGAGGGTAATGAGATATTTGTGGTATTTTGGGGAGCTCACTAAGCTTCGTGCTTACCGTGTTATATGATATGTGTTTCAGGAACTTCTCAAAATCGCGGGAAGGCGTCGGCTCGATTGTACACACGAGATGGAGTTATGTTTGAGGATCCTGGATTTTTATAATGGATATGTGTTTTGATAATTTGATAATTTGGGATTCTTATGAAATGTGTTAATGAGAATTATGTGATTTTAAAATGAAAAAAAAAATTGTTTGAAAATTTACGGTGTTACACGTGGGTTAAAAGAACCAATGCTGACCTACTAGGTTCTTCTATGCTAGTTTTCTTTGTGACTCTTGAATGGTATGTTGGGCTAGGCCTATTTGTATGTCGGGCTAGGCCCATTGTATGACAGGCTAGGACCATTTGTATGTTAGGCTTCAACATACACTCATCCTCCTCTAAGGCTTCAACAATCACTTACATACACTCAAATATTAACTCACACAAACCCAACATACATATAAAACTCTCCCACCCAAAACAAGAACATCTCGATGCCTCCTCGGATACACCTGATCTTCTCAAATTTATGTTGCATATCTTACTTACGACTTGCCCTTCACCTTAGCCATCGAACCAAAAGAATAATCAAGCCTTGAACATTCCCTTGCTGTGATACATAAATGATTTATTGTGACCCGGAATTTACCTTCTTACAATAAAACTGATGAGTATAAGACCGTCTCTTTCGATTGACACACATCCGATCTTTCCCCCCTTGAGCACGAGAGACTAGAAAAACACAACCCCATCATAGAAAATGACACCCCGAGCTATCGGCTGACCACTCAACCTTCGACTACAATCCTCGAGCCAATCATCATAGTTACTCCCTTCTTATGTCCCGCAACTCAAACCGACACTACTTTTAGCAAGGCCCTTGAGACCTTAGAATCACTACTCAAACAGGTTTGCACCATTTAGATCCAAACTGCCACAACCACTAAAGCCCAAAACAATTATACGTCTTATTCTTATTCTGAACAACTAAAGTCGAAAGGCCAACAATGACAGAGACGACTACAATTAATGCTAGTTCTATACTACATTATATACCCTCCACTCGCTCCTTAGAAACCATTTTGGTTCTTCATGATCCCCATACTGATCATGTGCTTTCAATAATATGGGCTGACACTACCTTCCTGTAACATCCCAAAAATCACAACAAATTTAAATTTAAAAATACAACTCATTGTCATAAAATGTTTACAAAACCATTGTATCCAAATTGTTTATCCATATTAGAGTATCCGAAAATCATAAAGCCATAAATAGAGGATGTGTACGGTCACGCCTTCGCCTTCCTGCGATCATCAGATGTAGCTGAACCAACAACTACAAAGCTAAAGTTTAACGAGTTCCCCCAAAGTACCACCACATATAACATATCAAAAAATAGCATGCATAATCGAGCCTTTAGCCTCACTGGACTGCTTCGCAGAGCCTACATCCTGTATGGACCGCTCTTGAGCATTCGACATGACTCGAATGCCTCGTAGGGCCTATAGCCTATACGGACCGCTTGTCGGACCTTCGGTCTAACTCGACCGCCTCACAACCTACAGTCTATCCGGCCCACCCTGGGTATCTTGGCCTTCAACACAATGCATGTCATTCCTTATGTTATACCCTTATTCATAAAATGTAATCATTTTCACTTAACAAGATTCATAACTATTACAACAAATCACTTGAAATTTTTTTCGTCTTAGAAGCTACTGCTTCTACCCCTGTAGGCTTTGCTATCGCTCATGACTGGTATATGGATCTCTCTATGTAATGGTTGGCCTTCTAGAAGCTTCGCCAAAAGCTACTAGTCGCTTCCCGAATGCCCCTTTCCTTGCTGCCAAACTACTAGGAGAGTCAGCAAGCTAGCTTACTCGCATTCTAGAAAGATGATCTGAACCATTGTAAGAGAAAAGAGGAGGATTGCAACAACTAGAGCAATCATACTCCGTGGACTACTAAAATATGTACGCTTCAATGATGCAATGTTTTTAGGCTAGTAACTATTGTAGTGCATATCCATTTCACGCTAGTCATCAAAGTAATAGAACCTTCTAAAAGGAAGTTCTTTGCAAATGTTGTTGATCATCTCTATAGTGTTTTCGTTTGAACCTAAGTGGTTGACAATGATTTTTGATTCTATCAACTTAGCAACGTCTTCTTCAATATCGACTAGCATATCCATGGCAAGTGTATATGATGTCCCATGCCCACATGTTTTATAAGAGGAAGAGGGATGCCCATAAGCAATAAGGTTCCTTAAAATTGACATTGTAAAGTTGTGAATGCATAATACTGGAATTTTTAGAGTAAGCTTACCCTAACACCATGAAAAGTAGCCAAACGTAGATAATTGAAAGTCCATGGCCATTGTCCATCTTGCATTTGTATAAGGCTTCGACATCACCCCTGGCCTCTCCAGTTCTACAGTCGAGTGCACTGCTACACTTGGTAATCCTTGTAAAGTAGAATATTCCTTTGATGGCCAACAACATTTTTCAAGAAAGCTAAGAATATGATCATCGGGTTCTATATGGTAGAAGGACGGTCAAGCCTTAGACCGGCTGACGTATTGGTTTTTGGATAGGTTAGAGGGAAAAACGTTTGTGTGGAACCTTACATGAGTATCCTCTCTCATGCGTTTGAGGGTTGAGGGTTTCAAGACGAGAAGTTTTTTAATAGACTACAATAGATGATGCATAGCGATGTTATATCTTCTAGATCTATGGATTTAGTCTTTAAAAGAATTGACTTTATCATGAAAAAAAAATTATCAATGCAAGTTGTTATGCATTTGTGTGTTCTCCTTCATTGTATTGTGATTACTAATTAAGAATGAATGAAAACATCATATTATATTTTTTTTATTATAAAAGGTAGGGTCCGCATAAGAATTCTTTTCACAATGTTTTTGTAATTATTTCTAAACCTACTGTGTATCCGTAATTATTTTTTCAAAATACAATGTTTATGCTTTTTTAAAATACAAAGTTTATGTAAAAAACTCGTCTAATAAGTAGTCCGCCATTGCCTTTTTCTAGTAGCAACCAAAGAGGAGGAATATACAAAGTAAGGAATTAGGCTTAGGCCTGAGTGGATCACCTTTGGGCCGAGAAAATCCCCTTTGGCATGGGTCGACAAAGTCAACTTGGGGCTGACCAATTAGAGCTCACTTGGTGAGTTTGGGGTTGTGCACTTGAACCGAAGAGGTTGTCCAAAACCATTACTACTACAAAAAATCACATAGGACTCGCAATATAAAACCCAATTATTGAAATAAACGGGTTATATTTAGTAAAAACCGGGTTTTATAATGAGGAATGTTATATGACCTGGCTTAAAGCAAAAAACCGGGCTATACATTATTCATAAATAACACGGCTCCTAAAGAAACAACCGGGTCTTTTATTTACATAGTAATTTGTTCCAGTTTATAGACTATAACCGAGTTCCATCAGATTTTGACAGCAATTAAGAGAGGGGTTATAGGACCCGTCTTCAAGACTTCAACAACTGGGTTTATATAGGGCATTAGTTATGGCAATAGTACAGCTGTAGACCGAGCTCAATTTCAAATACTCCACTACGGGAAATTACAAAAATGGTCCTTTTGGTTACATATAATAATTTAATAACCAGGGTAAATTACAAATATGGTCCATGTGGTTACATATCTTTTATCCCAGGATCTGATACAAGTAAACAATCGATTTATCCCTTTTTTGGGCGGGAATTAGAGGGAATCAGAGGGAATGAGAAATTAGATTTGGTGGGAAATAAAAATGATAATAGTTTTTTTTATTATATATATTGAGAAAATATTTTTTCAATTTTTTAATATTATAGTATCAAATAATATAATAATTTTTTGTTACTCTCATTTAAGTTATTAACGTTTGTTATTTTTTTTCTTTTCTTTATCTAAATATATTCCTTGTTTTATATATCTATATATAATATTTGGTTGAAATTGATTGAATTATAAAATATATTGTTTACTTTTAGGGTTTAGGTCATTTTTGGTCACTTAACTTTTGGTTTTGTGTTCATTTGGTCAATTAACTCTTTTTAAGTTTTAAAAGGTTATCAAACTTTTAACTTTGTGCCCATTTAGTCACTTAACTTTTGGTTTGCTCACATTTAGTCACTTAACTTTTAGATTTGTGCTCATTTAGTCACCTAACTTTTAAAATTGTGCTTATTTAGTGACTAAACTTTTGAAAAAATTTAAAAGTTTAGTGACTAAATGACCATAATTTTAAAAGTTAAGTGACTAAATATGATCAAACCAAAAGTTAAGTGACTAAATGAGCACAAAATCAAAAGTTTGATGACCTTTTAAAACTTAAAAAGAGTTAAGTGACCAAATGAGCACAAAACCAAAAGTTAAATGACCAAAAATGACCTAAACCCTTACTTTTATAAGGTATGGAAATTTTGTAGTTTTATCACTTTCGATCACTTCTTTATATTTTTCTAAAATTTATTTAGTAATAGGTACATTGCATATGCCTTTAGAAGAATATTCGTTCGAAATTAATAAAGATGAGACAAATTACTACCACTGAATGAGAGCTTCTCGTACTTGTGTTTGATGATTCATAAGGATTTAGAGTGTTAAGGATGACGATATTCACCACATAAATGTTGTATGTATAAAATGGATAGCAACCACCATAGTGTTGTGTGACAAGGTCTTATTAAATTGAAAAAAAGGTATAAGATTGTTGTAAGGTTAGCTATGTTGTATGAATTTCAATATTATACCACCTAAGAACGAGCATGAAAGAAAAATGGAGTTCACATAAATAAGTATGTGGGGTTGCAGTTGGTTAAGCTAGCATTTCAACTCCACAATTAAAAACTTATTAGGAGGGTGTGGCAATAAATGAGATAATAAGGAGAAGAAGATTGTGGTGGTTTATACATGTGTGTAAGAGACAAAAAAATGTAGCATTTTGGAGGGTGGACACAATCACTATGCATCGTGAGAGGATGAGAGTTTACCCGTAAAGGAAATGGATACGTAGTGTGATATTATACTTTAAGGATTTAGGTCTTTCAAAGACATAACCCTGTGTACTTGGGTATGTAGGAATATGATTGAGTAGTAAATTAGTATATCAGTACTCCTTTGTGTTTAATATTATCTTATACTTTGTAACAACTCGATAATTTAGATAACAAAATTCATTTAATATTTACAAATTATATTCATGGCTTAATGAAGCCCAAAAACCCAAAAGAACTTAATACATGACTTAATGCCTGCATGGAGGTCACAAACACCATAAAGTTTGCACCTTTAAGCTAAAAGAGGCCACTAAATGCCTAGATCTACAACTTTGGCATCAGAAAATGGTCTTGACACATTAAGACCCTTGAAAAATGGAAAGATATCTAAACAATAGATGAGTAAGGTGTGGACTTTATACCTCCATAAGCTCCTTAAGAAGAAAGAAATGTTGGATCCTAAAGCTTCACCACGTTTAAGGATTGTACTGCAAGCTCTTCATCTTGAAAATGCACCAAAAATGGCTTCTTTATGGCACTTTAAGCTCATACTCACTTCCGATGGCTATTAGGGTTTTCTAGGGATGTTGAGGGAGGTCTAAAGGTTCAAAGATAGCTTAAATAGGGTACAAGTTCTATTTATCTTTAGATATGTGACCTTGGAGGGTCCTTATGGCATAAAGGTGCCATCTTTAGGGCCATGAGAACCCCATGCATGCTTAAACTGATGGGTTTTGGTCATAAGACATCTTATGTGCTCATACAAACCCTAATGCTTAGATCTAGGTTTCTCTATTGTACATGCAAGTTATCCAAGACTATAAACCCTAATTCTAGCATACAAGTAATCATATTAACATAAGAATGAGTTTATAATGTTACCTTGATTGTTATGTAGCAATAACAATCCCAAATCTCCTTGATTTGACTTTGGAAGGCTTAGAGTCACAAGTTTCACTCCTCTAATGGTTCACAAACACCAAGAGCAAATGGAGAAAATATGAGGAGAGAGGGGAGGTATTGAATTCGTCCCTAAGAAGCCTTAGGAAGGTCTTACACGAATTCATGAGCCAAGGGGGTTTATATACGTGTACAGATAGGGTTTCAGTCATTATCCTTATCTAGTTGCTTGCTTACCAAGCAACCCATAAGATAATCCTTGAATCCTTATCATAGTCGAATTCTAAGGCATTATCACCTTAAATTCGCCCATCCTATACTTAGGATAATCCTTACCTTATTTTGTAACTATCACAATTCAGGCCCTTTAGTTTAATTAATTACACTTGATCACAAAATTAATTCCTAATTAATTATTGACCAATATTAATTAAACAAATATGATTTCTCCTTTAATATATTATTCTTATAACATATTAATAAATCATAATAACCTCTCTCTCTATTTATTTCTCCAATCAAGTTGCTTTGGTGAAGGCAACCCAAAATGACCATGCACCATCGGGTCAAGTACATACCAAAATAGTTATGGACTTAGACACTAATCCAACAGTCTCCCACTTGGATAAGTCTAATAACTATTCTACGTATGACTTTAGATCCTGATCTGCAATCGTAGCTTTCCAAAGCCGTTGTCAACTCTGATCCTATCAGATACGCGTGTCCTTTAATAAGGGATCATATATTCCTCCATTCTAGATATCGTATGAGATATGATTTCTAATCATTCTCTTTGTACTATTTCTCGACTTCCGATTTATGACGACTGACTAATTGAAGAAATCAAATTAGCCCTAGCTCGGCCAAGCATTTACGTTTGTCATCACTAAATCATCGAGGGGCCCAAAGATATCGCTTTTATCCTTCTTTGGATAAAAGGAACGGATAAACTTTGATACAATGCTTGCTTGCACTCACTCACCGAATCACACACAACAATATGTTTTATAACACCAAGTTACTAGTGCGTTTACATATTATCAATATGCAACCGATTAGCAAAATACAACTCACACATCTCGGTTTCAAGAATATAAGATGTTATCATCTCACCAATCACTCGTGATACAATTCATAGAGTGATCCAAGTGAGCGTGGGTTTAATCCGATGCTCAAATTCATATTCATAAGCACTCATGAACGTTGCAGCAAACATTTGCTTATGTCTAATACTCTTTTAGACAATCCACACACCAATTCACGACAGTCTTCATTCATATCTACTTCCAACATATGAACGAATGTGGCCCGTTTGAATAATTTGATTATTCTTAATAAACTCAATTATTCTGGAAGTCAAAACATGCAAAGTGAAACACAAGAATAATACTAATCCCATATGGCCTCAACCCTTTGAGTATAAATAAAACTCCTTTTATTTATCACCATATCGATTACTCATTATTTATCGTTTCGGGTAATCAACTTCTTACTTGAATTACAACACTTATCCCATGCTCCTAGCATGCACACAATGTTCACCTATGTGTTGGGTTTTGTATGGTTCTTACTTTGTGAAATA